ATCCATTCTATGTAGGGCGTCTGTGAAAAGAGCTTTTGTGGCTCATCGAATTCCTCTTGTATGAAGCAAGATTCTGATTCTGATCCACATATATTGATAATCCGTTTTCTCGTTTATCGCACGCGGCATCTCGGGACCTACGGATGAATACTTTTCCCCGCGTGATTCACCGTTTTGACTTGGCGTGCGCCCCCTCGACTGTGCAGCGAAATTGGCATCTCCCGGCTCGCGCCATCAGCAGAAGGTGGCCTGAATCAGTTTGGAAATTATTTTGCAGGAGCGTTTTCGCAGCGGTCATCGCGAATCTCGCGCGCATTCAAAGCTTTTTTTTTTCTTCAGAGAGATGCAACGACAGTGGCAATAATGGTTGTACTGGAGAGACTGCGTAGGTGAGATTCCTTAAGTGTGAAGTAATATGCATGATTTTGTTCGTGTGGTTGTTGTTGCCTTCGTTTTACAATGCCTTTTTTGCAATTTTGTTATGGGTGGGTAGTGTTAAGTTGCGGGATGAAACGAATGCGATGACACTCGGTTACTGTTCTGAAGTATGGCTGATGGAGCGGTGATGATGTTGGTTGTGTGAGCGAGGCAGTACTGCTGCTAGTCTTGTTTATCTTTATCTTTTTATCTCCGTAGATCCGTTGGCACTGCTCACGAGACTATCCCATTAATGTGCTGTTATCTGATGGTCACTTCTCTGGCTGATTGCTGTATTTGTGTAATATAATCAAGCGTTGGCATTATAGACCCCTTGACCAGGGTTTTGGGTTTATTTATTCAATAATTTGTGCACAAGACCAACTCTGTGTATATTTGCTGCAATATTTTGTATGTATGTATGTTGAATTGCTTTCACATCATATGTAGCTAACCGTGCTAATTGGAGGTGCGGGAGGATGGTCAAAAATGTGTAGTGGTGAAACAGTGAATTCAGTCAGAGAAATGGCTCCCTGCTCAAATGAGAAATATCTTTGAACTCATTTCCATTACTGGCCCTGAGCTCATGACGGGAATTACACATTTCTGTGAGTGGGTAGAGTCTTGTCCCGAGGACAACTGATGTTGTGACGTCCCACAATGTAGTGGTAATTTTGTTGACCACTGGGAAATGTTCTTGTTAAAGTCCTGCCAATGGCGATGTAGCAAGCACTGTCACAGCACTGTCCATCCGGATCGCTGTTCCGTCATTGATGTTCAATCATCCGGATGGATGTTCAGTCATTGCCTTTTGGTGGAATGTTGGCGGGTTTGTGCACGAGCAAACCAATTTGGAAAATGCAATCGGAAACGAAGGCTGAAAACTTCTGGCCTATATAATGTAATATAAAATCTTCGAGTCTCAACGGTAATCACATCAAATTTGACCTGTATTACAGTTCATCCGAAGCCGAATGTTCACACAACTCTTATGATTTGTGTTGACGTTTCCATCCTGACAGCCGGCGGAGGAAGTATGGTGCTGGAACTTGCACATTGACATTCCTATAATATAATTCACAAGAATGGGTCATATTTTGTGCTGCCAAATCAATTATTTTTTCAATTGCAAAATTAATCGCACCGAATTGAGAACTATAACAGTAATATTCCCGACCTTGTACTAAAGTCCCTTCCAGACATAGGTCGCATATCAATTTGTTCTCAGCTTCTTAACTTTGGGACAATGAATTGAACTCATCATTATTATTTATAGACATTTTGACTGTCAGAGAAATACTGGACCTGTTTTGTGGCTTATGGCATAAAAGGTGAGTTTATCGCTGGGCTAATGATTTGTGTGGGAAAACCACACGTTTGGCAAGGAAGTGCGTGGCTTGCATCTCTGATAATAACGAATAGCGTTATAAAGAGAGGGCCCCAAAGCAGCAGAGGCTGGGCATTCCCGGCATCTTTCGGGCTACAGGACAGCCATCAGTCCAACATTGCACTCAAAGTGTTTGCCACAAATGAACCGCAATACCTTGCTGATCTTGTCAAGCACCATAAACCATCAAGCAAACTCTGGTCATCCTCGCAGTGGCTTTTGGCTAGCCATCTATCAAAAATGGTCACCGCATCGTGTGGCGCTTTCATATGCGCTTCTGCGGCCGTCTGGAACACTCTTCCTTCTGATATTTTGGAAGCCACTGGGGCTATACACTTTTAATTCTAGGTTGAAAACTACGGTGCGAAAGAAAGTTCAACATGCATACGTACATACACTTTGGTTCTTTCGGTAAAGTTACGTAGGTATAAAATAAAATATATCACGACATTTCGGGCGCAACACAAGCTTTCCCACCTGATGACTGATTTATTTTATTTTATACCTACAGTGAGGGAAAAAAAGTATTTGATCCCCTGCTGATTTTGGACGTTTGTCCACTGACAAAGAAATGATCAGTCTATAATTTTAATGGTAGGTTTATTTAAACAGTGAGAGACAGAATAACAAAAAAAAATCCAGAAAAACGCATGTCAAAAATGTTATGAATTGATTTGCATTTTAATGAGGGAAATAAGTAATTGACCCCTCTGCAAAACATGACTTAGTACTTGGTGGCAAAACCCTTGTTGGCAATCACAGAGGTCAGACGTTTCTTGTAGTTGGCCACCAGGTTTGCACACATCGCAGGAGGGATTTTGTCCCACTCCTCTTGGCAGATCTTCTCCAAGTCATTAAGGTTTCGAGGCTGACGTTTGGTAACTCGGACCTTCAGCTCCCTCCACAGACTTTCTATGGGATTAAGGTCTGGAGACTGGCTAGGCCACTCCAGGACCTTAATGTGCTTCTTCTTGAGCAACTCCTTTGTTGCCTTGGCCGTGTGTTTTGGGTCATTGTCATGCTGGAATACCCATCAACGACCCATTTTCAATACCCTGGCTGAGGGAAGGAGGTTCTCACCCAAGATTTGACGGTACATGGCCCCGTCCATCGTCCCTTTGATGCGGTGAAGTTGTCCTGTCCCCTAAGCAGAAAAACACCCCCAAAGCATAATGTTTCCACCTCCATGTTTGACGGTGGGGATGGTGTTCTTGGGGTCATAGGCAGCATTCCTCCTCCTCCAAACACGGCGAGTTGAGTTGATGCCAAAGAGCTCCATTTTGGTCTCATCTGACCACAACACTTTCACCCAGTTGTCCTCCGAATCATTCAGATGTTCATTGGCAAACTTCAGACGGGCATGTATATGTGCTTTCTTGAGCAGGGGGGGGCTTGCGGACGCTGCAGGATTTCAGTCCTTCACGGCGTAGTGTTACCAATTGTTTTCTTGGTGACTATGGTCCCAGCTGCCTTGAGATAATTGACAAGATCATCCCGTGTAGTTCTGGGCTGATTCCTCACCGTTCTCATGATCATTGCACCTCCACGAGGTGAGATCTTGCATGGAGCCCCAGGCCGAGGGAGATTGACAGTTCCTTTTGTGTTTCTTCCATTTCCGAATAATCGCACCAACTGTTGTCACCTTCTCACCAAGCTGCTTGGCAATGGTCTTGTAGCCCATTCCAGCCTTGTGTAGGTCTACAATCTTGTCCCTGACATCCTTAGAGAGCTCTTTGGTCTTGGCCATGGTGGAGAGTTTGGAATCTGATTGATTGATTGTTTCTGTGGACAGGCGTCTTTTATACAGGTAACGAGCTGAGATTAGGAGCACTCCCTTTAAAAGTGTGCTCCTAATCTCAGCTCGTTACCTGTACAAAAGACACCTGGGAGCCAGAAATCTTTCTGATATAGAGGGGGTCAAATATTTATTTCCCTCATTAAAATGCAAATCAATTTATAACATTTTTGACATGCGTTTTTCTGGATTTTGTTGTTGTTATTCTGTCTCTCACTGTTCAAATAAACCTACCATTAAAATTATAGACTGATCATTTCTTTGTCAGTGGGCAAACGTACAAAATCAGCAGGGGATCAAATACTTTTTTTCCCTCACTGTACGTGACTTTTTCGAAATAAGCGAAGAGTATGGATTCCTGCAGTCACGAAAGCTTCAAATCATACTTGCAGTTGGGGCGATGCTGTCATGAGGTAATCCCGATTGAGTAAATTTGCAGGTATTGTTTTTTTCCACCATTGCAATGTTTGGCCAATACCCATTACACTGTTTTTTCTATATCTATGCGAGGAATTCGGAGAACCCAGAGGGAACCCATGTAGAACAGGGTGAGAGCATACAAACTCCACACGCAGAAATATGCTCAAGTCGAGAGTTGATCCCAGGACCTTATTGCCGTCAGGTATGAGGTTACCACTGCTGCTCAAGTTAACGCGATGCAAAGTTAACATCTTAAGAACGTACTTACATTTTTTGCTGTCCAAAAGAGGAATTAAATGGTGCTCGCCTCTTGATCAACCTGAGACAGCCATTGGATGCTCTACATTCATTCATGTTGCAGGGACCAATCTCCATTGGGTCTGTGTTATGCGTAGTACGGAAACGGTATCTACATTACCACTTCTGAAAATGTTGGTCTTTTCTCCACATGCTGTGCACTCAAGCTGTTCACATGTAGTCAATGACAATATTAATCATTGAAGGGTTTCTTTGTGATGCACACTGAACTAAAGCAACATGCGTGCAAATGGAACTGCTGTTATGGTTCAAGCTGAAGGATTTACTTTCAATGCATTTGTAAATATGGTCAAAAAAAGTGTAAATTATTTATGCAGGCTTTATACCACGCTTACGACCATCCTTTTTTCGCAAAGTCACGATGCCCTTCTCCGAATATCGCGTTTTGTTTTCCATGGAGACGAGAGCGAATTTTTCTTCTCATCTTTTTGTTATAGTTTGTGAATGAGCAAAATGCGATTGCTCAGCAGGCTAAATTTTGATTTAAAGCTTTCGTGACTGCAGTAATTCATACTCTTAGTTTTTTCGGTAAAGTCACGTTGAAGAGAAACAACAAAATAACAAAATATATATTATGCAAACCGACACACCTGATGATGACCGTTTGAGTTATGGTCGAAACGTCGTGAGAATTTTTTATTGTTTTTATATATATTTTGTTATTTTGTTGTTTCTCTTCAACGTGACTTTACCGAAAAAACTAAGAGTATGCTCAGCAGGCGTTCGCAATGGTGGGGCTCTACCACCTCGCGCATCCTCCGCTCTGTTTTCCCCTCCCTTTTCACCCCTTCCCATTAGCTTGCCCACGGCCACTCGCTCACTCGCACACGCATGCTCTCTCTCTCTCTCTCTCCCCCGCGGGATTATGCAGCAGGGAGCAGCGTTTGCGTCACTCGCCCAGCGACTAAAATAACGGCAGACGCTTCGCCGGTGGGCCCCGGCTTTATTCCCGTGCCTTGCCGACACCCGCCGGCGGATGAAAGCCGGCAATGGCTTTAGCAGCGCGGCCAGAAGGTCTGCGGCAGGAGCTAGCGGTGCAATAATAACAATTTATATATATTTAAAAAAAAACCGTTTTTATTTGTAGCGCTGACAGCCCGGGACGGGTCGACGTTTCGTCAGGGTGCGCCCTGCTGATCTGCGTTTCGGCAGAGTCCCGTGCCGGATTCATTTCGCGGGTTTGGTCGAGCTTGCGCGTTGGGCAGGAACCTCCGGTGGAAACGCCTCTGTGCATTACAGGCCGGCAGTCGCATATATATCTCCCTGCGACTCTCGCTCCTTTGGCTGCGTTCACCTGTCGCAAGCCGCCGAGGAAAGGGATTCCGGAAATATTCACTCGCCCGTGGCTCGGCCTCGCTTTGACGCAGAGAGAGAGAGACCGTGTGTGAGTGTGGCCGGCAGAGGGGCGACCTCACGGCTGCCTACGTGAGCCAAGGCTACCGGGAGATTTTTTGTCTGCGGCTTCTCGCCGTTTTTATTACGCCTGACGTCGACTGAGCTTGCGTGTGAATCCCGTAGATATTGCGCTGCAGCTGTTATTGCGGTTACTGCTCAGATGTTTTTTTTTTCCCCGTTCACATTTTTTTCATCGCTGCAAAATAATTTACCCGGTCCTTTGTTAACTTTAAATGCCGTTGCTAACTTCATTATTTATTACTGTTATTTATTTTAACGGCAACTTGAAGGACGTAACTGCCGGACATTGTGTCAACATTTTGTCGTTTGTTTTAACTTTAACCAGTAACCAGCATTAGCAATTTGCAGGATGGCATATGACGTTTGAGGCTCGTTATTTCAGCAGCATACCCCCACCACCCTTCCATCAAGAAAATAAATAAATCCCGTGTATGTTTAAACATCCTATCGGCTTCACGTAGACCACTGTAATGGGGTGAAAATAAATATTAGCGATCCGTATATCATTTAGGAACAGTCGACGGTCAAATGCCCTCTAACTTATGCAATTTTTCGAGTCTTTGATCAACATTAAAAAAAAACAACAACAAGGACCCTTTTTCTGCCGGCTCTTGGGAGGCTATATTTAGGAGACTTCTTCACGAGTGAGTTGAGCACATTGACGTTCCAAGGAAGCAAACGCATCTCTCACCCTGTCAAAGTCCAGCCACTTGAAGTTGGAACAGTCTGTACCAAACATGGCTGGACTCCATGATTCAGGCTTTTTTGAAATTAGTCTCAAGTCCCTGCTGAAGTCATGGAGCTGTGAGTATCCTGGTGTTTAATTACTTTATATACGTACATATTGTTTACCCATATCTCTTCACTGTTCCTAAAAATTGTGTGATGCAAATATTTTGCGTGATATGTCTCTTTTTGTAAAGATTACGCAAAAGTGTAACATCTGCGCAGATTGGTGCAGTGCATGAACATCTGAAATTCAAAATCTGAAGGTCATGAATTTACAATCCGGTCGGGAATCAACTCACACCTTCATCCCTCCGGCGTTAACAAATGTATACTTAACCACTGAGAGGAAAGTCAATACAGTAGTACTGCAGCAGTGCTCCTATGGATATGCTGGCCAGTGCCAAGGAATGTGGAATTTGCATCACTGTCTCAGGGACACCGAGAGAGATGAAGTGCTGCCCCATTGCACATCAGAGCAGAAAGACACTGTGGCTTCTCTTGATAGCTAATGCACTCTTTTGAGTCGCTTTTTTGTCAATCTATAAACTGTTACTACATCTGTTATGCCTCGTTTATCCGTAGTTGCACAACAAATAATGTACACTTCCATCGGTTTCAAAAGTATATTGCGGTTATGCTCTCAGTTGTATACATTTATTAAAGGAAACAGCCATATTGAAAGTACTGGAAATAAATTAAGTTAATGGGTATTAATTTTCGATTTAAAGGGTATTAATTGTTTGCAAAATGACATTCTAATTACAAATTTTTTGTGTTCTAAAAAACTGACATCCATCTGCATCAATATAGCTGATTTACTTGTCATATACTTACACGCTTTGTACATTGAACTTATTTTGCGCCATACGTTGCCAACCGTGCTAATCGGAGGTTCTTTGTGAGATACTTTTTACGTTTCTCATTCGCACATGCACACACCCATCATCCTGGGCAATGATATTCTGGGCATGACCTTAAACTACATCCAACAGTCCATCGTTGCGTGCCCACCGTGGGGAGCGGACAGCGGCCTAAGCAAGGCACCGCTTGATAGCGTGATGTCCTGTGGGGCTTGTTCCCCAGTGGCCCTGAAGGCCTGCCAAGAGCCTGCCAAGAACCTCGAAAATGGTGGCCAATGAGGCTGTGGTGGCGTAGGTGCTGGGCAGCAACCACATATCCGGCCGGCATCGGCGGATGAGGTCCTCGCTATGTATGTACGCTCGCAAGTGCTTTGAACTTCTTTGGCACCGTACGTTAGCAAACCGTGCTAATCCGTTTGTCGGGCACAGTGGAGAGCAGTTCACCGGTGACCCGGAAAGCAGGCCCTCGTTACTGCGCTCCGCATCCTCCCCTGTCCTAAAAGTGGGGGAGGAGTACCGTAGGTCATCGCCAAAAAGCATGCTACGGCTTACAAACCGACACACCACCCGGGGTTAAAGTCCCCTGCTTTCTACGGCTCCGCGTGTTGGCGTCACTTCGTGTCATGACACCCTGCCACGCCGCGACTTTTTGAAGCGTGGCACCTCTTAGGGGGACGCTGCCAGGCTGACCGTGGGCACCTTGCATGGGGCCCAATACGTGACCTACGTCCATGTCTCCTCGTAGCCAACTGGGATGTGTCCTCACTGTGGTGAATGTTGGATATCCAGAAGCCGTGGCAACGCGAACTCTCACGCTGCCGCATCGGGCAACCGTGCTTACTAGGCAACTCTGTAGCCCCGTGCTGGCTCAAGAGCATGATATGCACACATACTGCATACACGTGCGACGTGATGCCAGTTTTTTCCTTCAAACATCGTTATGCACACATACTGCATACACGTGCGACGTGATGCCAGTTTTCTCCTATAAGCGCATTCTGCCTGCACTGTGCTTACCCACCAAGAGTGCAGCATCAAGCTGTTTCACGCTACTCATTGAATACGTCGCGGGCATGTTACGCAAGGAGCCAGCGATGCAAGCAACACAGGCTCAACCAATACGTGTGCAGTATGCTGCCCAGCGTGGTGCTGCAGGGTGGCTGGCAAGCTGGGATCATAGCGGTGTCAACAACAAAGCATCCCTTTGCACTGTACACCGCTGCCTTCATGTGTAACGCAGGCCTGCCACGTTCGATATTGCCAGATAGCCTGTGTGCGGGGAATGGTAATCAGAAGGGCTGTGATGATTGTGTGATGCACTGGTCTGGCCTGGCCTGTAGCCTCGCAGTACGTGAAAAACAAAGCCACAACAGGCAATTGTAAGTCACAATAGGACTGCTCAATTCCAGGCTGTAGATGTTATTGTAGGGAATGTAATGTCGAGGTAGGGGGACCACAAAAAAAGAAGCACATCTGAAAGCTCGCGATGCAGTGATTGTCTCGGTTCGATGGTTCATAATAATTCTGGACACATCAACAGTGTTAAAAGTCGTGTTTTATTTATGCCGTGTCATGCACACGAACTGCATTTCAAAAAGCTGTAGAATTTGGAGCACACGCAGCTTTCGCATGGAGGTGCGAGAAACTGCAAACAAACGGGAAGGCAGCCAGAAGCGGTGCCAACAATTGCCCAAGCTCTGTGGTCCTATATTTTAATGTTTGGCCAACGCCACTAATGAGCGTTTATACGTACGTGAGGAAACCGGAGTATCCGCAGAAGCCCTTTCTGTAAACGGCTATATTTGTGTGATTCGCAAAACCCAATGGGCACAACACAGTCCATCGGCAGGGCTACTACGTGTGGTGGGGTAATGTGTGGATACTACGACCTCTTCAAAGGAAAAAAAAATATCCACTACAGAGGGTCTCCAGAGCTCTGACAGTGCCACCTGATGGGATAATGCAATGGTTAACACGAATCAAATTTGCAATGTGGTGTATACAGATCAGTACAGTATATATAATTTTATCCAAGTCAAAACATTACAGAAGACATTTTTTTCCCCCTATTGTCATATAACTAGCCTTTTGCCCGTCCTAGGACGGAAGCTATAATATTTACGTAAAGAAACGTCTGCGTAGATTTATTCATTTTAGTAACTTTCAATAAAGAAACGTCAAATTTAAATTGAATTTTTCTTCATCAGGTGAAGGGACGAGACTGTCTGGTAGGACAGCGCTGTCCTACCAGACAGTCTCGTCCCTTCACCTGATGAAGGCCGCTTGTGTTGTGGCCGAAACGTCGTGAGAATATTATTGTGTTATTTTATTTTATCAATTTATTATTTTATTCTCATTCTACGTGACTTTACCGAAAGAACCAAAGAAGATGAATCATTGCAGTCACGAAAGCTTTAAATCGAAATTTAAATTGAATTTGCGTAAAAAAATGTCTTTCTTATGATAGTAATGACGGGGGTACGGCCTCTTTTGCAGCGACGTCACGTACGGATGTGGCACTGTGCTGCGTAGATTTTTTTCTTGACCGTCACTTTCTGTAAAGAAACGTCATATTTGAAGCGACTTTGCGAAAAAAAATATTTCCACTCGACCTTTTTCCGCGTGAGTGTAAAAATCCACCCGCTCATGATTATCTCCTTATTAATGATAGGGGGGATGGGATGGGTTCGGCATGTTGAGTGACGTCACGCGCGTTACACACATTTCTGGGCTATTATAGTAGTAATGCTGTGTAGTGTGCATTCATAATGGTGATTTGGGATTTTTATTTACACAATTATTTTATCGAGCGCTCATGCAAGAAAATGTGAGCAATGTTGGTTGTTTGGCATTGTTCGATAGACTTGGTTTGCTGTGCCAGCACATAGGAGGACGTGCGCACGTTTGTGGATGTTTGTGGGGAGCGCGAGCGCAACGGTGAGCACACTGCCTTACGAACCTGATGACATGGTCAACACCAGTGACGATTACCTGAACCGGTCCTGGGCCTCACCGAAGTCGACTCGGTCTCAAATGAGTACCTGGTGCCGGTGTGTAAACATCGCCACCGGGGAGACAAAGGTGGTCTTGCCTGGTGCTGGCCACCCACCATGCCGGCCTTCCATGGGTGCTACTCGCTAACAGCACTTGCCCCAACAGTCTTGTAAGGCGATACGGTGGATCTTTGTCTTTGCAGTGGCATTATCCAGCTTTGTAATGCTCTGTCTCGGGCCTTGGCAGTAATTGCAGAAATGATGGGCTGTTTGACCGGGGAGTGATGCTGTCCCCGTGGTCGGTTATCACTCGCTTGAGAGCTGCGTTCCCTTTGCACCAGAGTGGTTGAGGCACCCCTGCGCACGAGACAAAGGGGCTTTTCCTCGTGAGCACACCTCGTTGGTATGGCGTCTGTCCGTGAATTTCGATTGAATTATCGGTATAAATGTACGTATGTATGTTAAACTTCTTTTGCACTGCACGTAGCCAACCGTGCTCATCGGAGGTGTGGAAATTTAATCAATGGGATGTAACAAGAGACCTCACAATGGGGTTTTTTTTCACCGCTGAGTGCTCAATTTTGCTTTGCAGATTGCTAGTTGCACTGACTAGACAGGTACACTTATACAGGATGACAATACTGTGCTGCTGTCATCATGAACTAGCAACTTTTCTCATGTGGTAGGGTTTGCTCATCATGGTGGTGGTTTGGTGATGACACCGGTGGTATGTTTTTTTAAAAAAATGTGCTTATATTATTTATGGATATTACTATACTGCATAATGCTGTGCTGCAATGGTTAAAATACCGAACTTGTCATTCGCTATGTCTCTGTCCTTCCAGCAGTATATACAATGAGGGAAAATAGTATTTGATCCCCTGCTAATTTTGTACGTTTGCCCACTGACAAAGAAATGATTAGTCTATAATTGTAATGGTAGGTTTATTTGAACAGTGAGAGACAGAATAACAAGAAAATCCAGAAAAACGCATGTCAAAAATGTTATAAATTGATTTGCATTTTGATAAGGGAAATAAGTATTTGACCCCCTCTCAATCAGAAAGATTTCTGGCTCCCAGGTGTCTTTTATACAGGTAACGAGCTGAGATTAGGAGCACACTCTTAGAGGGAGTGCTCCTAATCTCAGCTTGTTACCTTGTTTAAAAGGCACCTGTCCACAGAAGCAATCAATCAGATTCCAAACTCTCCACCATGGCCA